TCTCTTGTTACATTCCTGCTCATAAATGTAGTCTTACCTGTACTGCTAGTTAATAAACAACTTTTGGAAAGTTGAGTCTAGTTTAAGTTTACGTTGTAGAATATTTTTTTTCCATATATGGAGCTCTCTTACAATTGCTACCTTGTATTCTGTTTTTGCACAATCTTCAGGTGCATCATGGAGGGGCAGGAACAACAGCAGCTGGTCTTAAAGCTGCGGTAATTCCTGTGCTATATACCAGTTGTAGTTTTTTGCTTTTGGAGCTTACTCATTTCTTCCTTAATAATACAACTCTAGTGCCCCACAACTGTTGTACCATTCTTTGGAGACCAACCATTTTGGGAGACCGTGTTCATGCCAGGGGAGTTGGTCCTGCACCCATTCCTGTGGATGAGTTTTCACTTGAAAAGTTAGTTGCTGCAATCAATTTCATGCTGGATCCAATGGTAATGAGAAATTCAACCATAATGATTGAGTTGCATGGTTTAATGCCTGTGCTCTGTAGAATGTTCTTTATCTGTTTCCTTTTTTTTTTTTTCTCTTTAAGGGATCTTTTTTTTCCTCGAACATGAATGAAGTTTTTAGTATATTGTTTAATAAATGTGATCCATATCATATGCATCAGGGATCTGTGATACCCAAGCCTCACTTACTACACAAACAACAATAGTTAAAGAGTAGTTGGCATATTATGTACCATCTCTTTTTTCTTCCAAAGTTTCCTCTTATAGTTGTCTTAAAGGATCTAGGGTCAATTATGGCACATCATTGATTCCATATTCAAAGACTTCATTCTTGTGCTTTTGAGTATGATTTTTCAGCCTGAAGTTCTGTTTAGAAGTATTTTTTTTCCCGATTTTTCAGCCTGAAGTTCTATATTGGAAGGTGTTTAAGTGAAGTGTAGGATGGGTTTATATTTATAGTAGATGATTTAAATGCACTCATTTGAGATTATCTGCTTGGTTGAAGGCAATTGTCTATTTAATTTGATAGCTTCAATGAAAATTGATTGCCTTGTATTTGGATATGAGGGGTTATTTTGGATGCAAATTATGTAAATATTGTGAAAAATTTGTTATACTGGCTAATGGTTGTGATGTTCAACTTCAAAATCTGGCATGTCATCACTTGTTTAAAAAAGGTGATAATTCAGCAGAATAAATTATTGTATGAATTGGAACACAGATATCTTGAGTGGTACATTAGTTTTTAGGATTCTGTTAAAAGAGAAATAGCGTTGGATAAACAAAAATGAATAAAGTTCTAAGAAATACACAAGTTAGCTATTTTCTTTCCTTGTGTGTGCATGCTATGAAACTTTCTGATGATGAATAGACAAGGCTAGTTATTTCCCTTATTGATGTGTACATGCTACGAAATTGCAGATGATGGTACACGTGCTAACTGCAAGTGTATTTTAACTTAAGAGTGTATTGATGTCATTTTTTTGGTTGATTCATGTTGCTTGGCAACTGTAATTATAGTGCTCATGTTGCCTATGTGAAATTCGACATCCAACTTGTCTACTTTGGAGAATTCAACATGACACTGAAATTTAGATGTCTTGTGACTACGGATAACCCAAAAAACATGCATAATATGCCCTTAAAATAGTTACATACATTAAACCATGGGATAATAGAATTACAGGCTGAAATAGTCAGACTTAAATTGTAATTTTTGACACACGTCCTACCAAGTGTCCTTCTGAGTCACGGGTCCTCGCAAAAGAATAAACAAAATTTGCTGTTAGCTCACTTTGCTTTTCCCATACCCTTGCCAAAATTCACCTTGATCATCATTTTCCCATTACAACATCTTTGTCTGGTAAGAAGGAGAATCAGAGGACAGCAGAAAGGGACTTAGAGTAAAAGAGAGTTTCATTTCCATTTTCTTGAGGATAGGGAGATAGCCAGAGGGGAGCTGTGCCGCCATGGGCCTTACTGCTGAAGAAAAGGGAGAGGATGGAAGATATGGTATCTCCCGCCACAAATTTTCCTCTAAAAGCTATAAACTGATCCAAGATGGGATTTTCATTTTCTTGAATTACTTCTAAAAGACCATTTCATGCCTAAATCATTGAGCTTGTGAGGTTGAGCGTTAACTAGATTTTCAGAGGTTACGGTGTTAAAACCTGAAACGATGAACATTTCTCCAGTTTTAAATATTCAAGGAAGTTGATACTTGTCATCCTGTTTGTCACGTGTACAAGAACAGTGTAAACTGGTGAACTGCTTGTGTATGTTATTTCTAGTAAAAGATAAGCAGTCTTTTCTCTTGTTGAATTGGAGTTGGATTATGTTGGAAATTATGGCTTCTCTGCATGATTTCATGTTTTAATTGGTGGAAATGGAAGGAGACGTTTATGCATGATGCTGCTGCCTTATCAAATAGTGTCAGGCATACTTTTGTTTTGTCTCTGGCTGACTACAAAACATGGGGTCTAAAAATCTCCATTCAGAATTAAATGTTTTTATATGTTATTGTTACCTAGATGAATAATTTTCCTCTGTTACCAGGACGAGATGTTTTTACTGACCAAGTAGTAGAGCTTAATTAAGGGGAAGTTGCATACTGCCTAGCAGCACATTGGATATTGACGCTGCGTGTAGTTGCACCATACGCGTGGATGTGTTAAGCAGTATAAATTTTTACTGGAGATTACTTTAAGCTGAAGTTGGACAAGAAAAACTGTCTGTCTGTACTGCTTTTAGAAAGAAGATGTCATAAACAAGTACTTGATGCTAAAAGCTTAGTTTAATATTAGAACATAGTCCAAGAATTTTTCTTGGTTGTCTATCTTTGCGAGGCAATAAAGAGAATTTAATCACCCACTTCTTGCAGGTTAAACAACGTGCTGTCGAACTAGCAAAGGCAATGGAAAATGAGGATGGGGTAACAGGAGCTGTTAAAGCTTTTTACAAACATTTCCCTCGTAGGAAATTGGAGGCCGAGCCTGAGGAACCACGAAAATCCAATTTGTTTTCTCTTCGAGGCTGTTTTGGTTACTCGAAGTCCATCAGATGAACCTTCATGAGTCTAAAGGCGGACTATATTCTGCTTCAGTTCCTCCTATAAATTTTAGTGAGTGCACTTTGCGGCTTCCAGTCACTTCTAGATGGAAGTTGAATGCGGACAGATTACATGCACACCATCAATGAAGAAAAGAAAGGAAAGCAAGAGAATGAGAGAGAGAGCAAGTGGGAAATACCTGGAAGTGAAATATTGTAACATCTTCGCGATTTTTGGTGCGACTTCAATAAAGTCAAGAAAGTCTTTTAGGTGTAGAGAATGAATTGGTTTATCTGGGTGTACCTCTTTGTATATGTAATGTGTAACATATTGATATTCGTGAACAGTTCAAACAATGGAAATATTTGGATACTTGTTTTGACAGTGCAGTCTCTCTCCTTTGCTACCATTTGGGGGAGAATGATAGTTTTGCTTCTGTTGTTGCTGGGGATGTGGCTTTTGGATGTTTGTCTGTCGAAAATGCCTTCCTAGCCTATTACTGCAAGTTAACATCTCTGAAGTGGCAGGCATATACGTTCTCAATGCAAGCAAATGCTCCATGGTGAAATAGTCTGAAAAGGTGGCAGCTACAATTGAGGAAGTCGAGCTCGATAGTGGATTTTGAAAAAAATGCCACCAACATGAAGCCTAGGGCGCAAAGCATTCATAGGCCTTAGGAAGTTCAAGCAATAGATGAACAGCATAAATCCTTAAATTGGTGCTTGTCTGTTGTTTGAGTTGTAGGCAGGTTTTCTTTTTTCCTTCTTGGGTTTTTGGCCTGGATGACAAGGTCGGAGGTTCTAACGGCACATTAAACATGGTTTTTGACGATTAGAAGTGGATAGTTTAGCAAATTTTTTGCCAGGTTTGATGCACAGCTATGAAGGAAGATGAGCATCAAAGGGATAGCGAAGGAACATGGAATTAGGTATTCCAGAGGGAAATGTTGCTGTCTCTGCCTATTTTCGTTCAGGTTCCAACTTTTTATGTGTTAATTTCATTTTGTACTTTTTAATTATACGTCGATTATCACTTTGGTTTCTAAACTTTAAATTGATGCATTTTAATAACCTAATGTATAAAATCTGTTCCACTTTAGTTCTAAAGTATAAAATTTGTTCCATTTAAGTATAAAATCCGTCTCACTCCCGTTAACGATTTTACTTAAACGAGACAAATTTTACTATATTTTACTATATTATTTTAAAGTTTATAAACCAACGTGTGAAAATTTAGATACAGTTAAATGATCAAAATAAAATTAATCCTTTTCTATTCCCTCACTCATAGACACAGCAAAAGGGGATGACACTTTTCAATTTTTCTATTCTGCAATATTTTCCAAGATTGTATAGACCACTAGTGTTGATGTTACTCCAGATATTAATCGGTGACAATTAAAAATGGAGGAAATTCTGAAGCCAGCCCATCACTCGTAACATCTTCTGTTACAATAGCAAGTTGTCTGATTGGTATTATGTTTCATCTTATGTTCTTGAATTGTACCAAATTAGGCGATCTTTTGGTTGTGAGGATGGATTCCTGTCTCAAGCAGCTAGTCCTAGCGGTTTGTTTGTTGAGGACATAATCCTGTAGTTTTCTTCTTAGATGCAGTTCTCCAATGGACTTTGAAGGATTTTCAACTAGATGCTTTGTTCACCTCTACAAGGAAATGGAGTGAAAAGGCAGTAGTGCACCAACAGCATAAAATCTTTCGTTTTGTTTGTCTGTTACTTGACTCGTGGGCAAGAATGCAGCAGGCTCTGTTTTCCTTTCCTTTTTTTCTTAAAGTTTTTTGCTTCGATTGTGGGTTCGAAGGCCCCAAGTGAGAGATCCAAACGTGTATTCTTTGCGCTCAGAAGTTTTTCAGAACTTTGGGTGATGAAACGTGAGTCTGTAGAAATATAGAGCAAAGAAGCTTGGGGCAGCGGTAGATAAACTGAGGAAAAATAACGATCCTGGCGAAGCAAATGGAGGATTGATCGACCTAAATAAGCTATTGTTAGATAATTGATACAAACTAGCTGACTGGAGAAAACAAGAGGTTTTTTCGTTCATCAAAATCTAGATACAAGATTTACAACTACAAAGGCTTCAAAAGCCATCATACTGCATAGACTTTCTGCATTTGGTGATGGACTTGGCAGCAGTCACAACTCTTTTCCACCTTCCCTTGACATTATCACGCTTGCTGCGCAACTAATGATGCCATTGGATTGGATTTAGGCGTGAGAGAGATGGGGAACATAGCCTTTCTCAGCCAGAAATTGGTTCGCCTCGAAAACACCATACGTTGCAAATGTACACAAGCAGAGCAAAGGTAGCCTTTTCTCATCCGGTACTTGATTCACCACTTAATATGCGATTTGATGTTGCAGCCACGAACATTTGGAGACTAGGAAACAGAAGGGGAAACTTCACTTTTCTGATCGGGTGCTGTGCTGATATCTGAAACGTTCACTGAAGAATCGCTTCTCACCGCCGGTATCTCCAATGTGGGGACTATAGGAGGCCTCATCCTCCTTGTAACGTCATCTTCAAGCCTTGTGTTGTGTGTATTGTTGCCCCTGTAGTCATTTGAACCTGCAGACAACTCAATTCATGTAAACATGTATTTGATTCAACTTCACAAATTGAGAGTGGATGATCAGATAAACTTCCAAGCAAATGGAGTTCGATTCTTAGCAACATCCAGTTATTGTGCTTCCGAATACAGAATTGAATCTCTGTGAAGTTGCAAAAGAGAACTCAATATAACTTACAGGAGGAGCTCCAACTGCCATTTGAAAATTGAAGCGTTGAACAAGCATTGAAACTGCAACTATGGTCTGTTGATTAAAGAAACATCGAGATTACAACCAAAATACAGGTATAGTTTTAAAAAAACAGAGATAGCAGGGCTCTATCAGGTAAAGAAATCATGTATCGTGCTGTCAATATCATCTACTGACTTACAAGTGAAGTACTTGACTAAAAGATTACCTCAAAGGAAGCAAACATGTCTCCAACACACTTTCTTGGTCCCCCTCCAAATGGCAAGTAGCTGAAACGTAATAACATGAGAAAATAATTCTAGCTTCTCAAAACACGTATGTATGCATTTAATGAGAAGCAGAAAAAAGTTGCTAAGAATAAATTGACAGAAACTAACAGCATACCATTTTAGTAGCCATTAAAATACAGACAAAAGTCTCTTTATCAGGTATAATTAATTACAAAGCTTTCAATTTTTTCTCTCCTAAGTCCTGAGAGATATTCATTCCAGAATTCCAACTAAACCAATTTCAGGGCAATTGATCCACTACTGGTTGATGTGAATTACCTCCTCTCTGCATACAAGTGCTTTCTAGCATCCATAAATAACAGATCACACACAAATCCCAGAGAGAATCATACACAAACATGTGCTCGTGTTTGGCAATAGACATATCAATGTATGTGCACAGTTGTATTTATCAGCAATTGTCTAGTGTAACTTGTATTCTCCTATTTATCTGTCATACCCATGAAAATGGAATCAATCCCCAACATGCATCTGCGCTTATATTTTCTTCAAAATGAAAGAAACATGCTCATTTTCTCACTTAAATGGGGACCTTCACAAATTTTGAGCATACACAAGTACAACTGTTTAAAGCTGATAATTTCCAGGTGCCCTAAAAGTATCAGAGCTCCATGCACATGTTAGTCCCTCAACGTTTTTCCAAAAATGGATGTCATGCTGTTTCTGTACAGCCCAATCTCCTAAACTGTACCAGTCATTCCTCCATGAAAGAAAAACGCAAATCATATAACATAAAAAAAATAAGAAAATATATAAAGCTTAAACGATGAACCATAAGCAGCAACTATCACAAAAGAATTCATCAATAATAATAATGATGATCATGACGATAAAACCTTGAGCAGGAAGACTACATAGCCACAAACAAGTGAATTTACCTGAAATCCTGGTTGGTCTCATTTGGATTAGGTCCATCCAGAGGCCATCTTTCTGGGTTAAATCTCTCTGCTTCTTCCCAACGTTTGGGACAATGATGCAAGTTCCAAACAGAAATAAAAATATCTTCACCCCTGTATCAAAAGAGAAAATATTCTTCAATTCTGTGGATACATCATGAAAATTGTCCAAGAAGACTGAAAGTGGAGGAAGCAACACTGGCAAACTTATAAGCTGAAACCATTCAGAAGCCTTTTTATTATTTGTTGCAAAATCAGGTTAAAAGCAAAATATTACTCTAAATTAGTGTTGAGAAGTTTGTGCAGGTTAAGATATCACGTGCCAGAATTTTAATCTTGGTCTTTTCCTGTATTTGTGTCCACTTGTAAAGGGAAGATCAGTCGAGCAGTCACAAAAGCTTAGATTTCACCAAAAATGAGAACCAACATGTCACAACCTGGGTGCAACAAACTTGTATTGAATTAGGAGAAATTCAAAAATTTTAGCCAATTACTATTGATGAGTGTCAACCACTAATCTCCACCCTTTACTCTGTCATCTGTCTTTAGAAATGTAAAATGCATTGGTTCCATAATGCAGCCTTCGGTAGAGTAAATGTTAAAACAAGAAACAAGCATAATTTTGGATCTCCCAAGGAAATAGATAGGAGATGTATCAGATGTCTTGAACTTGTCACCAAGCCTTCATTTGGATTTCTCCCAGATTAGCTCACCCTAGGATCTGGAGACTGAAAAATTTTGTTCCAGCTAAAGCACCTTATCACACTTAAATGCAAGGAAATAGGACATGCAAATTTTCACCAGTTTGACTTTAACATTCCTAGGATGCCAGAAATCATATTACAATGGCAGGATTACAGAGGTAAACTAGTGTATATGTCTAAAAAAATCATAGTAAGTGTGCCTACAGCTCCAACAATGCCAGACATAATGGAATTCAGATATGAATGGATCAGAATGTTGGAATGTTCCTTTGAGGCTGATTTTTGCCCTGCATTTTTTAAACAACTAAACCCAAAATAAAATAAATAAAATTGATTTAAGCTGACCTATAAATAGAATAAACCAAATACATCCTAGTCTCTGTTCTTTTATTGTAAAGTTAATTTAAGCTGACGATCTATAATTGCCTTTTATCTTGTGCAAAGTAAAGAATACCTAATAAATACAAGTCCTGCATGCCTTGGGTCCACGAAATAACAATTTTGGCTTAAAAAAAATGAACAAACAATTTTGACCTTCGAATTGGGTACTCTCCAAGCATGTCATTTTCAAGAGAACGGCGGATTAAAACTGGTGGCTGTGGATAGAGTCTCAAGGACTGCAAAATGACAAAACTAAGACAATAAGAAAAAAATCCTGCATACTACCCAAAAACTGGTTGATTCTTAATGAATTACAAAGAAATGCTTCTCACTTCATTAATCACTCGAGTTGTGTATTTCAGTTTCTTCAGGTCTTCCATGGTTGGAAACCGATCACCAAGAACTGCATCCACCTGAAACAACATTTTAAATATAAGATATCGATCTATTATTGTTATAGCACTTATATTATTAGTTAAAACAGAGATTGTGGAATTTAATGCAGCCACAAAAAAATCCAAAGTTTCAACCTACCTCATTTTGAAGCTTGGCTAGCACACTAGGTTCCTGCAGTTATTAGCCCAAGACACAAAAAACAACTATCATATAAGCTCAACCATTGTAGAAGATAATTTAACATTGGCAAAGCACAAATTTACTTTCAACAGTCATGGTTAAAAATTACACATTTAGGCAGAGATGTTGTCTTGGCAGGGGGAGGAGTTAGAGAAGAAATAACCAAGAGAACCAAACTTGTAGCTTTAACCAAAACTGTATAAGTTAAGCACTTACCAGAACGAAGCAGCAATGGAATGGAAAGATATTACAGAATTTGTAGTTAATAGTAATTGTGTGGCATATGCTTCTCAAGAAAAATACTGATTAACATTATGTTGTTATCATCTGAAAAGATGTACTCCAAATTCTCAAATTACCTAACTTCTAGGAAAGTTTGTTAATCAACATAGTCTGCATCTGTAAAGTTCTGAATATGCCCAAATTGCATAGTGATAGCTGTACAACTACTATATGAAAATAAAATGCTTCTTCACTTCATGGACAAACACATTTCAAAGAAGTTGAGTAGTAAAACAAATAGAATAAAATAAAAACCTTGGAAAGAAGATAAAATGTCCATGTCAGTACTGCAGCAGATGTCTCATGCCCAGCTATAAGCAGTGTCATCAAATCATCGCGCAGTTGTTTGCTAGAGACCTAATACTTAGTACATGAGAACCTTTGTAGAAAAAAATAATGATGCAGTAAACATAATAACAAGGCACAAAAGATGTTTACATCGTCGCCAGATGCTAGCAGAAAATGAAGAATACTAGGATCTTGTTCATTCATGTACTCCTCATGGAACTGCAACTCTTCTTCATCTACCATTCTCTGCAATTAGTAAAGATACAGATTTAAGAAAAGATGAATTAGTCCTGAATAGGTGAGGTTCTCTAGTCTACTTCAAGATATATAAGTTGCATTGGGTCCACGTACTCGGGATAAGAAGACCTCGTAATATTCTAGAACAACATGTACTTGGGGTGTAAAGACAACACCAAAGTAGTTTTTAGCATACACCAGCAGTTTTCATGTTAAGCCAAACAAGGCAGAATAAGCAGCTTGCAAATCCAGCATGAGCTACTAGTAGCATGTGTTATTTACTTAAGTATATTGGAAAAGAAATACATGCTCGAGAAAGGAAGAGAAAAGAACCACTCCTGTGCCTGGACATATAAGATACATCTTAGGAGGCGTTAAAAAGATATTTGCTTCTTAATCCTTTGATGTGTAAATTCTTCCTTATACATGCTAAGAGGTCTTAACAAGTTATTTGTCTCTCAAATGCTTTGATGCATAAATTGTTCCTTTCACTTCCTAACCAAAAGTAAAGGGTGCACAAGCACAATTTCCAAGCACGGTTAAGATGATTTATATTTTGTTATTGGAGCCACATACAAATTAGCTAAACCACTATAGCCATCAAAAGGGTCTTAACCCACACTATCATCTAATCATTACAAAAGAAAGCATATAAACTACAGATTTGTTGCTGCATCAGGTGAATCCTGTTTCCACAAAAAGCATCAAATACTACATATGCTTTTTTTAGTCCTTGAATGATTTATCTTTCTTACTAACACACTAATAGAGTTTTTCCCATTGCTGATCTAAAAGTAAGAGAGTAAACGCAGTTTCTCCCTGAAGTTGATCACTAAAGCAGATAGTGTGAAGTTCGTTTACCTTTTCTTAAATAAAATTCATCTTCTTTCACCCTAACTATTATACATACGAGAGACATGAATGATGCAGGGAGAAATGCTGCCATGAAGAAGCAAAAACATGAAAGTGTGGATAATTTATTCGAAACAGAAAAAAATGAAGGTGAAAGGACAACAAGATGAGAGAAAATTCAGAACCACAATAACTGGATTAACATGAATAGATTGCAACAAAGATGAGCCAGTTCTGAAATCTGTAAACTACTACAGATGAAACTGAAATGCAGGAAATAACAGGATTAACATGGATAGATTGCAACAAGACAGTCCTTTTCCGAATCTTGTGAACTACTATAGTTGAAACTGAAATGCTAAAAAGAAAAAAAAAATTGCCCAATAATTGAGAAACTGTTATAGTATAACTAAGCACTAAATTAGTTTAAAAGATGAATGTTGTTTGAATTTGACTTTGGGGTTACACATAAGGTTTTGATTATTTTTTGGACCTTTTCTCTCCTATGAATTAATGAAAACAAGGAAGCAAATCTGAATGCCTCAACTTGATTTAATGATTTTTTGGCTCTGTTGAACAGTTGAAAGTAAATCCCTGAACAGGCAATATACAGCATGTCAACATGTCAAAACCGAAATTATCTTTTTGGATTTAAAAAAAAGGTCAAAACTGAACATGCTGGTACTGGAGGTTCTGTATACAAGTAAGATCACACTCTGCATTATTACCTATGAAGTCTACAGTGATACCAGAGAAATAAGATAAAAAGGATGAAAAGAATTTTAGCAAGTTAAAAAAAAAAAGACTATAAATCACAAAAATAACTTTACCTTACAAATTGCAATCAGATCATTCAGTGTGTCATTCACTAGCTTGAGAGCAGCGTTAACCTTCTTTTGCCTAGGTGAAATATCTTTCCAAATGGGAATCTCCCATACAGGAATTGGAGCAACACTTCGATCCTCAGCTTCTCGCAGTACAGTATATACAGCCTGTAACAATAGCAGAATTCAGACACCATAAGTCCATCAAACTTTGAAAGTCTTGAGAACAGGACAATTTCTTCTTATCAAGTTCGGTATTCATGCCCTTAGTTAGGATGTTGAAATTTCATGTTATTTTCCAGCAAAGCTTCTTGATTTAGCAACACAACCTTCAAGCAATACAAGATACTTGTAATAGAAGAGGATGTGAATACCTCAACTATTCCTGTATCAACTTTTAATGAATCAAAATCATAATTAAATACAGCTTTCCCGATAATATCCAATGTTAGCCGGGAAAAAAGCGATTCCATTTCTACATCCTCGCCATTAGAAGCTGCTTCATCAAGCTCTCTGCAGAGCCTATCTGTTGCTTGTCCAAACAAACTGATCATTGCAGCAACATACTGCACAACACACAATTGAAAGAGAATCAGCAGTGGAGAAGCCTCTCGCCAAAGAATAAACCCAATGCAAAGTTTGGCCAATGAAATTGAGCAGGATACCAACTGGCAACAACCGGCATTGAAATGGGAAGAACAGACGCATAAACTCCAGGATACCTTTTTATGTAAAGCGGGGACTATAGCACGTCGCTAACACGCCAAACCTCCCCATCAGCAGGTATGAGTCCCTTGCCCATCACAAATTCCAAAATCTCAGCGAGGACGCCCTAGTTATCAAGAATATCGAGGAGTTAATTTCCCTCATTAGTGCAATGCTGATTTTCCACGTTCATCCTTTTTTCTTTTCACCCTAATGATTCCTTTTTTTCCTCAAATTCAGAAATAGAAAATGAAAAAAAAAACTAAAAATAAGAGAAAGGTATTTCAGTTGCTGTCACCTTTGAATAAGCTTTTGAATTGTCCTTCAGTATATGTTTGGCAATTGATGGATCTGAAACAATTAAAAAGGACTGCAATAGACAAATTGGGACCAATGAGACACAAAAGCTGCAGAGCTAACAGCAGTTTATATCTACACAAATAAATTCAATAACCACACTATACGGCAAAAGACAAACCAAAAGATTTTACAAACCTTGGGACCAAAGGTCAACCTAAAAATCCCGCCATAAGTGAGGTAAAGCTCATAGAGAGGAATGAAGAAGGCCTCACTCCGGATTGCACTAACCGATCCTTTTGCCTCTGGAATCTTTGGATAATCATCCGCAGGACCTATCTTCCCGAACAAAAACTCAAGAATATCTTTAGGCAACCCCAATTTCAGTAAAGAATTCTTGAGCACTGACGGAAATCTAGTCCCAAACAACACGCAAATAAATAAACAACCAACATTAAGAACAGAACTCCACCAGAAAAAAAAAATCTGAAAAGATGGCTTCTTGATAACATAAGCAGCATAAACAGCAAACTCATACAGACCCACATGAAATATGAGACTACATCATCTTTGTTTTTTTTTCTTCCCAAAGAATCAAAGCTGAGAATAACTACATTTTACAAAATTCGTTTCCAGGTAGGAACTCTAACGCACAATGTGCAACTGATCCTTAAACGAATACATTACCCGGATTTCTCAACTGTAAACTCGCCAGCAGCAATACGGGCAGACAATTCAGCTCGCCTTTTCTCTTCAATAATCTTCTCCACACTCTTGGCGCCGTCCTCCACACCTCCACCTCCACTACCAGGCCCTCTTCCATCCCCATTCGAGTCATAAGCGCACCTAATCACAGCAAAATTTCTACAGCTCCCTGCACAGACAAATTCGCACAACAAAAACAAAGACCCCCAAAGAAACGAAGAAAATAAGTGAAATACGAGACGATATAAGCATACAAACCAAATAATTCACCATCCCATTACCCACCATTTGACTTTGAAGATGACGCAGGTGGAGATAAAGGGTCCACAAATGTCGGTCTGAATTTCTTGTTAGTTGGGAGTTTGGGCTGCAGGGAGTGACCTGAGAATTGAAGCAGAGGAAGACTTGCAGCAGCAGCCATTAGGAGAATTGTACGTATGATGAGAATTCTGCGAGTCTTGATAAAGTCGAAAATACAAGAAGGCAGACAAGAAGGCAGTAGTAGACTAGTAGTAGCAGAGCAATGACAAGAGAGAGTGGGGGCTGGAAGTGGGGCTGCGGTGGGTCGGTTAAACTTACAATATACAAATGTGAAATGTGGCGGCATCGGTATCGCACCAACTGCAAAGCCACGGAAAGGTATCTTCGGAGGAGAGTGGGTCTATTGGTGATGATACCGTTTTGACGTTCCAGATGTGATGTCTCACGTGTTGGGTTAAGGGTATTTTTTTTTTTGGAGAAAAAACAAAACTCCAAAATCATGAAAATGGCATTTAAAATATTTTTCTTTTTATTTTTTTTGTGGTGAGTAAGAAATATAATAATGAGTTTGTTTGGATAAGAGTTTATTTGGATTATTTATTTAAAATAATTACTGTAGCACTTTTTGTGATGTGATGTATGTAAAATAAAAAGTAATTGAAAAGATAAAAAGGTGAATGGAATTTATGAAATAAATTATTTTACTACACCCAATGTTAGTAGGGTTTACATAAAATAAGTCAAGTACAGTCGGAGAGTGATACTCTATCAAATCATCCTCTATAATACAAATAAGTTTTTAGAGATGTTATATCATAAATTAACAATAGATTTCGTTATAAATTAACTGTTCGTGTATATACTGGTTCGACTGGATATGTGTTTGATTTCAAATTCAGATTACGATTAGTTGTTATACATATGATGATGATGATAGTGTATTTGTCGTTAATGTATAGAAAATTAATTATTTGTTAAATGGATCTACTTCTAGTTAGTAAATTAGCTTTTCTATTAGTTTTAGTGAAAAAAAAAAAAGCTGCATGATCTCCACGTTTAGAATGATCTTTTACTTTTTCATATGTACTAGTGCTCATGGCTAGGCCTGTTAACGGGCCGGGTCTGGGTCAAAATTCTTTATTTCGGATTCGAATTCGGACCCGGTATACCAAATCGGATCCAGATTCGACCCGTTTACCCTATGGGTCTTTTATTCTATGTTCCGGATCCGGATCCGGATCCGACGGGTTCCGGATCCGGATCCGAGTCTACTCGAAAAAAATTATGAAAATTTACAATTTCTAATAAAAATGAGAAAAAAATATATTTGTACACTAATTTCTAACTAATACAAAAAAAACCAAATAAGTAAATAAATCAAATTGACTTTACTCAAATACATCACCCTAATCAAATTATATTGATAAATATACATATTTTAAATTATTAATCCATTTATTTCCGGATCCGGGTCTAATACGGGTCGGAATACTATATTCCGTATCCGATCCATTTTTTTGTTTGACAAAACGGATCCGAATCCGGGTCCGGGTAACGAAATTAAATCCTTACCCATACCTGCAATAATTTTACGGATCTGGATCGGGTCCGGACCCGGACCGTTGACAGGCCTACTCATGGCACAATTAGGGTAAATAAATTGCTAAATTCTTTTAATTTATATTTTTATGAAAAAGAATGGATGGATTATTAATTTTGCATCAAAAATTCTATTGACTCTATGTGGTTTTTCTTGTGTTTCTTAAAAAAATTTTTTTTTAACACAATTAACTATTGTTGTTGGTAATGGTATGCACCAATAGACACTTAAAAGCCCGAAAACAGGAAGTCTTGAAAATTAATAAAGGGTAGAAACTATAGCCTATATGTATGATTCACACGATCAAGAATAAAACCAATGACTCAGAAAGACAAGAAGTTTGGCATAAAATTGAACTATATCCATTATTGCTATTTACTAGCTCTGCAATGCTGCTTTGCTTTCGTCTCCTACCTATTATCCCTGCTCTTTTCTCCTTTTATTTATGGCTATCGTGCATACCTAGCCTTCCCATAACAGCTAGGCATGGCCTTTGAGTAGTTGTGCTGCAATAATCTGGAATTTCTTGCTCAACAAACTATAGCCATATCACTGGTCAATGATACACTTGTTTTTTTTTTTTTGGCTGTGATGGTTTTATATATCGGACTTTTCTTTGCTACTAGTTAAATTTCTTGCTTATTCAGAAATTAAAAAGAATAATTACATGTAACAAAATTGCCATTGTGGAAAGAAATTATTGTTTGCACAAATTCTTGTCCCATCTAAAGGGTGGGTTTCTTGTAAGCTTGGATGACGTCGTGTAACACCCAAAAGAGACCCGTAACAAAATGGCGCTGCATGAAAACCACAAAATATAACTTATTCCCAAAGGAAATTCGGTTTTAGTCATACAACATTTTTTTAAACTACTTTGCCAACAGAAACTAAAATACATTTTTTTCTTATTGAAGCAATAAACTATCGACATATCATCTCATAGGATCAAATTTTGGGACTTTGCTCTGTGGCCTCGACATGGCTCCAAGATACTGAAAGAGTCAAGGGTTGGGAAAGGATTTCCCCTTGTTTTCAGCTGCCATAAATGGGGAAAAAAAAAGGGAATTTAGAATAAACATTTAATCTCATATTGCAGCCACAATTTAAATTGGGAGAAGTTAAGTTCATATTAGTAAAAGATCTCTTTACCTTGTTGAATCAACACAAAGCATCGCAAAATAGGATCCACAGGCAGGCCCATAGCTTCATAAATGGGATCATACAATGAAGTTATACGATACCTACAGCAGGAATTTTAGAGTTAATAATTAGTTGTTTTAACATGGAAAAAATAGAGATAAATGTAATACTAAATGTTATTATCATAGGCCATGCAAAATTTTGTCACCTTTTGTTAGGAAATGTACCAGCTGCAATTGGATCTTGTGTGGCTTGAGCTTGAAAAAACCCACTTCTTGGTCGATTCTCAGATGATTCCATGTGTTCGTCCTGAAATAAGTTTTGTTATATGGCAAATCAATTATTTTCAACGTGTATCCAAAAAGAAAGAATTTGATGTAATTCATTGGGTTCTTGTGCTTTAATTTTCACTTTTGGATTCTTGTCCTTTAAATTTTTTTTTTTTAGTGTAAACAGAAGGATTCGAACCTGAGAACTTCTGGATTCTTATCCTTCGAACTTATTCTAGTTTATGCCCTTAATTCAATTTGGCACTCCATAGAGGACAGAAACAACAATTAATTTACCCTTAAAGGCAACAATGGTAACAAGATCATACCTGTAGCAAAGAAGGAAATATACTTCTTTCATGAGAGCTATGCGATCCCCTTAACAAATCTGAAAATGTTTGAACGCCTGGTGACCTACGAGGGCCAAAAAAAAAAAAAAACAAAAAACAAAAGTTTCACTATATTCATTATAAAACCAAGATTTTGTGTTTGTTTCTTGAGTAACACCTATTTAAGGTAGAAGCTCAATAAGAGCTAACAATTAAAGATTTCAAACAATGTGAAACAAACAGGTCATGCAACATGTTATCTTGTATGGTTGATTTGCAGGTAAAAAGGAATTTTTGGCAATAATGTTGGCTTTACGTCGTTTTGTAATTTCTTGCTCTTGAAATCCAAATTAGGAAAACTTTTGATGAGTATAGTTTGGAAAATCTTTACAATTTTCTTTTTTTTTTTCTTGCAACTTATGTAAATAATGACTAGAAACTATCTCAAATAAATTGGACTCTGATTATGTGCAGAATCAGATGAAATTTTGTATGTGAAGCAAACTAACAAAAGAAATAACATTAGCCTATTTGTAGAAAGTGGAACATTTTTTTTTTTTTTGGGGTGTCATTTACAAACCACGAGAACGCATATATAATGCAGTAATAAAAAGGTTGTCGGTTCTTACCATTGTAGACCTGAAATTTCATTTGGCTTAACTTGGTTCTGAAATGGCCTGCTGACTTGGTTTGCATTGGATCCAAACCGCTGATGATTTGCATTCTGAAATATGCAAGAGTTACAAAAGTATGCTAATCTGCTCGACTCACAGAATCAAAATAATTCAACATCCGATTAAGCTTTGCGCAAGATGGTTAGTTTTCTGTCTGATCATTGGATACATTATATTGAATAAGCTTTACCATTTTTAAATGCTAATTAGCATGGTCTAACTTTTCCTCAACATGGTTTAATTTTTGTCAACAACTTCAGAAAAGAGATCCAGTTTGCAAGTATGTACTCCTTCAAGAAAAGGGTAGATCATCATAAGAACGTAATGCCATAGATGCATGGTAATGACTAAGGCCTAAATTTTTTTTTTGTTGGGGGGGGGGGGAGTGTGTGTGTGTGTGTGTGTTTAAGCATGCAGTCATACACTTTTTTTGATCAGCAGATGGAGAAGGAGCCAAGAACTGAAATGTTGGAACTATTGGTTCCTTTTGATCCTCTTGGGGAACAATTTCAGGATGAGAGTTGGACAAACTAAGTTCAACCCCTGCAGCTTTCCATCTACAAAATACCAAAAGCAATTAGAATCAAATACTAACAATTGTAGAATTCTTTAATTTTAGGATATGAAATTGGTTTCTGCATTAGCAATCTCCATATAGGAAAATACCCTTCTGGAAATGGATTCAGAGATGGAGTAGGATCATGATTCTTGGCATGCTTTTTGGTTTCTTTGGGTGAAGAGGATGACCCCTTTGGTATCCCTTGGTTCTTCTGGTCCTGTGAAATAAGTACTTCTTTTAAGTATCAAAATTAGAACAGTATATTTACCAACTCAAAAGGTATTCTGGCAAGCAAAAAAAAAAAAAAAAAGATATATATCATCATCTGAGCATTTATTACTACTTGGGCAAGAATTAATTGTACCCTTGGACTTGATAGATTTTAAGACAAAGAAAAGCTATTGTAAATTGAATTTCTTCTACCTTCTTTAATTAAAGAACCAGAGACCATACCTTATTTTGAGCTTTACACGTCCGTGCCCTCTTGGTAACCCTCTTAGGCATCTGGAAAATGGCCTTTGATAACCTTCCTAGACTTTTTTTTTTTTTTTTTTAAATCTTGAATGACCAAAAACAAAAATGACACAAAGTGAGAATTTCAAAATTTATGTATAAAAAAAAACAGAATTACCTTCTAAACTAAACTGAAAATCAATGCAAGAAAATGAAACTTTGCAATAAAAGATGAAGGATTTTCTTTTGGAGATGGATGATGTGTGATCCATGATAGTGATTAAAAAAAATAATCTGCATTTTCTACGTACATAACCAAGAATATATCGTTATTCTGAGACTGAGAAAGTAACAATAATATTTTGGAAAGAAGATTTAGTAAACAGTATCATGGTGGGGTGGATACCAGCTTAAGCACACCCCCCAAATGCTTGAAAACGAGGACTTGGTTACGATTTCTGAAGAAGCTTTGATGGATATGAATTTATAGGACTAGTTTTCCAGCAAAAATTTTGCTGAAATGGAAATTAATAATGATAAATGATTAATATGGAATTCTGGTACGAAGAAAATACTGTGCATTAATTACATTTAATGAGAAGGATTCAAAAAAAGTGCAATCCATATCCAACTTATTTCATGGTTGAGGCATAGTTGGAAAGTCATTCAATGCTTCTTGGAAGTACTTGACTAAATTATGGCAATAGAGGAAACTTAATATTAGCATTTACTAGATGGAAAATAGAAGATAAACATTGTCAATTGCACTTATTATTCCTTAAGATTTGCAATAAATTGGCCTTATAATTTATTGCATCCTTATATGGACAAATGTAACTTTTGTTATAAATTATACTAATTAATTCTCATTTCCTGTGGTAATAATTTATTTCCTTTCGGGAATTTTTTGTAAATATGTTGCTTTTAGGTATAAATATTGAATGAATATTGCGCCTTATCTTTAGAAGGAAGGTTTTAATAGTATAGTATCCCTCCATTGTATCTGAATAATAAAAAGAATGAAAAAGTAAATATTACAGTGTTGTTTAATCTTAATTTTATACCTTTACATGCTCTAAACTTTAATTGTAGTGAGAAAAATCAACAAGAGGTCATAGCCATGGGACTAAGCACATTGTTAATCATAGGCTATACTTGTTTAAGAAAATTGATGGCTCTAATTGTACCAATTAAACAAAAATTCTGCACGTAATGTATGACCATGGCATAAGGAATTCAATTAATCACACTTTGCTCCTTAAACTTTAGGGATATTCATACTTTACTATCCTCAATCTTAAAAGCATATAAAACCCCACCCCCCCCCCCCCCCCCCCCAAAAAAAAAAAAACTAGTCAAGGTTTACAATGCATAAAAAGTAAGTACAATGACATTAATGTCCTCTTATTTGTGAGATTATTTATAACATACTATTATTTGTATTTTATTGCTAACAAATATATACTTTCTCTGTAATATCTACTATACAAAAAATATTAAACTGATAAAAACTAAAAAAAATTACATTTAGTTTTTATATAAAATTTTTTGTTGGATTAATGTTCACTTTTGCATATACTTTGTTCAGTTGATTGGAGTTTAAATCAAACAATAAGGACAAGAACCAAAGAATAACAATAAATTTAGTCAGCAAAATTTTGAAAGAATAAGGTAATCTTAACTTCTTATTCTTTAAAAAATAATCTTTATTATATTAGTTTACGAAGACTTAATATAACATCTTTTTATTTTTATTTATCAAATTAGTACAACATTAAATACTTAACAAAAATTATTAAAAATGACTAATACGTCTTATTATTAAACTGAGAGGAGGAAAATAGAGATTAATCAAACTTCACCATTTTTTGCAAACGAAGGGCAATAATTATAAACTATAAATAATTTCAACAACAAATGGGCAATATAGTCAGAACACTCACTTTTCGTTATGGAGTTTAGATTTTCAAGGTTGATTAGTCTTCATAGGTGGTGAAGTGTATATTTTTAAGGTTGACGCGAAAGATGTGATTTTCTCAAAGATTAGGGGGCCAAAGTGTTATTAAAACCATAATAATTGGCCATATTTTCTTGACAAAAACGTACAAGCTGTGTGTATGTCTGTACATCCTGTGTAGCTCGACGTACAAAGTCATGGAAATCAAGCTTGAAAATTGATGACCGGCATTTGACATCTGGAATTTTGGGTGACAGATGAAAATTTGCGGAAGCAGGTTCTGTTTGATACCTTGTAGGATATGCATACAGGATATAACATGTGTGAAGTGATATAATATTTGTTAACATATTTAAATTATACATAATTCAGCATCTAAATACATATTCTTATTGAATATAGAATAATCTCGAACATCGAATCAACCCGAAGTTTTAAAAGTATATTTATATCAGATGTTTCGAACGTATCTAATACATCTGAATATACATTCACACTCCTCTTACATTTGGACACGTTCTCAAATTAATTTCACTTTCCCTCGAACATGTAAAAACTACAGCATATTTGTATTCAAAACCAGTCATCTACGTTCAATGCTGTCTAAATTAAACCTGCATATTTTAAGCAGAATAAAAGGTTATATCCAGCAGGGAATCCAACCAACAAGAAAATATTTTCTTAAGATTTCCTTCCCTTTTGGGGTAGTGGAATTGGGGTATAGAAGATGCCCTTTTAAGGGAGAACAAAAAAGATAATTCCACGAGTGCGTTCAAGAATTTACCATTTACGTGTTACTTTCACATTTATTTTTACTCGTTTTTCGCTTTCCAAATAAAAATCTTCTTGAAATGTTGATTTTATCACTAACAAAAATCGCAAATACATTATACAGACGAGGAAGAGTTTGAGTTAGATAGTAAGGTGAGAGAGATTGTGAATAGGTGGTGTGTTTGGCTTAGGTTTTATCCCGAAATAAAACCCAAACCCAACTAGTGGTCCTGAATAAAAAACCTTTCACTCATCTCCAAAAAAAAAAAGGATACATTGTTCGGATGAAATAGATAATTTTTCCCAATTATATTGTGAAAAATCTAAATGACGACACAGGGATCTGCTTAACATATTCCTTTGTCGTACTGGCAACCTATGTTTCTTATTTTTTTCCACAAACGATAACAGTTATATAGATGATTATCCGTGACAATACAAGATTTAAATACAAAAAGGGCTACTACCCTCATTTCCTTCCTCACTAAATCCATCAGCCAAACTGGGAAATCTTGTTCCCATTCAATATTACGCACTAGCTTGACAGCAAATTGAGCTAGAGCATGGCTGATTTCATTTTCTGTTCTAGGTATAAACACAAACCTACAACTTTCAAAATGTGTTGTAAAATCCTGCACATCTTCCAGAATAGTTGCAATGCTAACTTCATACTCATTGCTTCTATTTATCTGGTCTATTACTGATTTACTATCCGAATGGATTATAATTTTAGTCCATCCTACTGTTTAGCCATCAGCATTGCATTCCTAATTGCCAGAGCCTCTTCCTTACTTGGTTCCCCCTTATATTGGTTGACTATTGGTTTTGCTTTCATGATCTTTCCGTTCCAATTTCTTGCAACAATTCCTTGACCCGTCCTTATCATTTTTGCTGATATCGCAGCATCTGTGAACAGGCAAACCTCATCTTCCCTTGCTGTTTCTCTTCGTGTCTGATGCTCACTGATGATGGCAATTGCACTCTTCTCCTTTTCTTCCTCCCTTGCCTGCTCATATTCCATCCATTCCTCTTGTGCTTTTGAGATAATTTTGGGTGGGTTCTGGTATTCATTTTCAAAGACTCTTCTGTTTCGTGCTTTCTAGATTTGCCAAAAAATATTGATGGTGAAGCTCACTCTGTCAGGTCCAAAGTCCTTTGAAGTAGATTGAGTAGCTTTTTCCCACCATATCCATAGATTATGCTGTTTGTCCTCTAATCCATCCCACCTTACCGGTGCCATTTTCCAAACATCTATCGCATTCACACAATAAAAGAGTAAATGTTCGATGGTTTCTATTCCTTCTCCGCAGCAGCTACACCTTCCCTCTCCTTTTCCTATCCTTTTAAAAATTACTTCATTGGTTGGTAAACAATTTTGCAAACATTTCCACATGAAGTGTTTCAGCCCTTTACCTTTTGGTGCCATAGATTCTTCCATTTGGCAACCTATGTTTCTTATTGCCCACACTTCCATTAGCTTCTTTAACGAGATGAAATGAACCAAATAAACCATCAAGAAGACACTCTCAAAGGATAAAACATTGCATTTACTTGTACGTACGCAGATGCAAGAAGGCATTTCCCTACGGGCTGCGAAGCAATGTGGTCGTGCAGTAATCAATTGCCATTCTTTAGAAAAACAGAAACTGTGATCTACCAATCTTCGTGTCCGCCCTGCACAACATTTTATGGAAGCACCAAACAACAAATACATTCAAGAAAGTACAATTCATATTTCAACCATCTTTAGTCATTAGACAAGGGAATCAGCCATCAATGTCTAACAATATGAGCAAACAAAAGTACCTCCTCATAATCATCACAAGGCAATAAACTACAAAAGGGTCATAAGAGCTCATTGATGTATAAGTAATATCTCTATTATTTCTCCAAACGGTGAGCAGTAATAAAGTCATCATAGTCGCAGATAGTAAAATATTGTATTAGAGCATGAAGGGCACCAATCGGGGTTAAAGGGTGGGTGTGGCAGCAGACGGGAAGGAAGACAAGATACAAGGATCACAACTTTCAAGCAGCAGAGTTGGACAAGCGAGATGTAACTACTTTCCAGAGCTTGACCCACTCCACCATTGCTTCAGAGGCCCGAGCAAACACAGGATCCAAAGGCTCCAGTCGCTCCTTCACTGCTGCAGCCATCTCAATGACACAATCTTCTGCTGTAACTGCTCCTTGAGACAATCTCATCGATTGAAAGAACGGAACCACTTCTTCCATAAGCTTTACTCCCTCCCACTCTTTCTTCAAACTCTCAACTGCGTTTCCTCGTTCATTTCTCCAAACATATGGAAGCCCACTTTTCACACCATATCCCAAATGATCACATATTACCTTTACACACATCCCACTCCATATATCTTCCACTGTTTCCCATCTGAATTTTCCTTCCTTTGCCAACCTGAAAGCTGGGACCATAGCTGGTCCAACTAACTCACGATCAAAACCTATGTTGATTCCACTTACGGGTAACATTGCCCTTGCTGGAACTGTGAGAACAGCGTCAACAAATCTAGAATTCCTCTGCCCTGGCTTGAGGGCCTGTGTGGGAGCATCATAGTCTGCTAAGTTAAGCCAAAGTCCACATGATAGACCACATTGAACCCCACTTCGCAAGCTGAACGGGTATCCACGGACAAAATCTGTTCCTTTGCGAAAAGGATCATAAAGTGTATTGAAGAAAAAAGGAGTGGCAGGTGTCATAAGGTTGGTGATATGCTGTGCAACTGCATCTATCAATTCACCCTTATCATCCTTAGCTGGGATGCAGTCATCATCAATCGAAAATTATGTATTTTTTGTGGGACACAAGATAGCCAAAATACCGACATGAATAGCCGGAGAAAACAACAGAACTTGAAGAAGACCCACAACGCTCTCTATATCGGACTTCATATAAACATCAAAACTAAATCCTCCAGGAATTTTAAGGTCTCCTTTGAGGTCAGGATCCTGGACAATTATCAGGTGGAACGAGAAAAGACTGCTCTCCAATCTTCCATAAATGAAGTAAGATCTAAGTGGAGAGCGCCTATCACAATGTCCACCTCATCATCTCTAATGTTGACTTGAGCCATCTTATGGGAGTTTAAAGCAGCAGCAGAAAAAGATTTTGTTCTCTCGAGTATAGCTAGCTATTTCAAGTCAAGTATGATGAGCGTGCTTTAGGAATGCCAGATAGCGTCAAAATTTCTCAGAGCATCCTGATTGACATGAAAAGTCAGACACAGCAAGTTGATTTTGTATAGAACATTTATATATTTAATGACTTACTGGTGGGAAGTACAGGAGTTAGAATAAGTTGAATATTAAGTTCACTGATCAAAGAAAGTATCTCGTCTTTGCCAGTAGCCACAAACAGTTTCAAGATCTTCTCAGTTAGTTTCCCTGCTCTTAAAGTTCTCTGCCAATTAAAATCATCATCAGTAGAAGGATATTAAAAATCAAACTCATGAGTTGGAATCATCTAAACAGCTCACACAAGAGCTACCGTAAAAATACATCTGAAAATCTAGATGATTAATTTGCTTCAATGGTTTCAGTGCTCCAGTCATCCCTTAATAAGGATTAACAATGAACATTCAAGAGAAGACTTTACTGAAAATGAAAAGAAAAATAGACAACCATTGTGCAAATGAAAACAATATTTCAAATCAACTTGAACCCAGTAAATGACAGACCTGCCAATTTCAATTCTGCTTTCTATTTGAGCATTTGGAAGTTGGAACGTAGGTAAGAACATCAGAACCAGCATAACAAACTTCAAGGTAATTGAGTAATTAGCAAATTATATTTATTTTGTTGATGTACAAGATAGGAAGAGGCAGACAATTATCAACTTTCAACCCACAGAAAACCAAAACAGAGCAAAAGAGTGGGTTATAAAGAAGCTTAATGAACAACGGGGGCACCTAAGTCGCATCAAGCCATCCTAACAGGCATTCATTGAACTTGCCCCAAGCTTTATTCAACTGAGTTCAAAAATAAATGATTCTAAGGCCTAAAATTTAGCTCAAACCTTAAAAAATACAACACAACAAGAGACATCCATTTTTATGCAACAATAGTAGAAAGAAGAAACAAATGGCACCATATTTAAAATTACCACAAGACTTAGTTAGCAGACTTTCTAAGTCAACAATATAACAAAAGAAGCCATAGAAAAACATCATTCAGATTAAGGTTATCCAAACACAACAATGAGCAGCCTTCTCAAAAGTGGCTACCTTCAAGCCATTACTAATTCTCATCCTTAGATTATGCAAAAACCCACGCCAACCATTCACATTTTGTAACTACAGCTTTCTTACCCACTTCAAACAATTTGAACCAAAATGTCGTAAAAGATGAAAAAACTAAAAATAACCATTTGCAATCCTGCATCTTTTACTGATTAACGCTCAGAACTAAAACTTGTTCTACAGCTTTTCGACAATTCGTCACTCCAAAAAATAACATTTCCTTTTTCTTTTCAATCTTTGAATTTATCCATATCTACTTTAGATGACAACTTCCAAATTTTTTTTTTCTAGTAAATCATGTAGCACAAACATAAATTGCAACAAGAAAGTTAGAGCAACAGTATATGCCACTTGAATCACATCTCAAACTAATCAAATATTCATCCAATCCACTAGAGAACCGATCAGGGGATTCTCGATCGGCCATTTCTAAGGTTACTATTCCCTTGGCCCTTATAAAACTTCTTCAATCTTTAAACCAGCAATGTATCTAATTAACATCTGATTCAAACTAATTGCAAAAAAGGAAACACATCGAATAGTACAGAGAACAAAAAGTTACTATTACTGAAGGCTACACAGTAAAAAGATCGCAGATCCCATCAAGGGCAAGTTAGACAAAGTACAACGGAACCCATCAAGGAAAATATCAAGAACCCGCGTGAAAACCAAAATCAATCCAGAACCCAGAAAATATCAACACAAAAATAATGACAATAATCAAGAGAAATTGGTAGAAAAGAAATTGGGAGGTAGGGGCGAGAAGAACAGTACTAACCAGAAAGAGTTCAAGGAGAACGTGGTCAGGCAAAAAGGAGAGATCGGAGATGTGGGAAAGGTTAAGAAGAGCTATATCTATAGTTAGCGAAAGTAAAGTAGGCGGCTTTCTCATTCAATTCACAATTTCCCCAAATTACAAGTGACAGGAGTAGTTAATAAATATATGAAGAATAATTCTGTTGTGATCCACTCCCATTCATATCTTTCGCCGACTCTTACTCTGTCTCTCACTCTCCTGCTTCTCTTTTTCCTTTCTAAATATATATACATATATATATATATATATATATGTGTGCGCGCGCGCGCGTAGCTATATGGAGTCAACGCGCAGAAGTTGATTCTGTAAGGATAGGGGATTCCGTCTCTTCTCCGCCGAGGCCTTGAGCCTTTGCCCTTTACTCATCCCGCCAGTTTTCTCCTCATGACAGTTGTGTTTTTTTTTTCTTTAAGGACAACAGAAAATGGAGAAAAGAAATTTGTATTTTCTGAAGTTTTTGTAAAAATACATATTGATTTAATATATACAAAGTAAAAGAATGAACGAAAGATGCGTTTATAGAAAATATAAAAAATTTTGGAGAAAAATTGGTTTTTTAAGGGAGATTTTGGCCTTAGGGTCTGTTTGATAATATAAAAAGTGCTGAATCTGAACTTTTTCAGACATTCAAATGTTTTGAGTGTTTGATAAATAAAAATTTATTTGCTGAATTTGTTAAGTAGTACTGAACTTGTGTGTGTTTTTTTCAATACAAGAATCCTAACTAATTGCTTAATTCTAATAAGAATTAATGGAATTACTTCAATTACCTTATATTATCTACCAAATCTACCCTTATTTATTAATTATGTTCAAAATTCTTATATAATTAAACAACCTAATATTCTCTATCTAATGATTTTCTATTTCTCTTTTCTCCCTTTTGAATGACTTTCACTTCTTTTCCATACTCCTCATATAATATAATTCATGTTTTATATTAATTTGATTTAAAAATAAATATTGTTATTTTCATACCTAACATTTTTAGCTAATTAAATCATAGGTTCTATTTCTTTTTTGGATGAAAAGAAATAAGGGTAAAATTGTCAAATTTAACTTATTAAGCATTCAGTTATAAATGTTTATCAAACAATATAAATAGGTTTAGCATTAAAATCCAGACATTCATATATTTCTTTTCAGTGCGTAAAATTCAACAAATTAATTGTTTCAGATTCAGATTTCAAAATTCAGAATTCAGATTCAGTTTTATCAAACGGAACCTTAGCATTTGGTGTATGCTTAGTCAAATCTCCACTTTTTTTCCCTTATTATTGGACAAGATTTGATGCCATGAGCAAAGAAATTAAACATTTTGTTAATAATAAAAAACTGAATTAGTATTACTAGATTAAACTACACTCATCACAAAGCAAGGCATGTAGAAAAACATAAGAGTCTCCTTCCCTCACTCCATTAAAGTCCATACGGAGCCATTTGTTGATGACACAAAAAAAGAAATGGAAAAGATAAAACAAAATTCTTCCGTTAACGGGAAAATTCTATCCAAGTTATTCGAAATGCTTATGGATGGGATTATGAACGAGATTTATTTTTGGAAAGATCAATCAAACTACTCGATATTCGAATCAAACTTCACTTTGTAAGAGTTCATTTGAACTTAATTTGCTAATTGGTTAAATCAAATTTAAATAGCGTTTTATATTCAATAAATTTTCAAAACTCAGCAAAACTCAGCTTGAATTTGGTTCGATTAGTATAAAATTAAATTTTATATGTAAAATTTCAAGCTATTTAAACTCGACTGAAGTCAGCTCGATAAAAGGCCAATTCGAATTCAATTCAGTAAATAAATAAATTAAATTTGAATAAAATTTTAAACTTATTAAAATAATCAAATAAGGTTCAACATTAGAGCGGCTAAACTCGAAGCATACTATTTCTAAATTCTAAAGTCAATGAAACGAGGCTCATAATTGGAAGGCAACCATATGGGGAGGCCACCGTAGAGAGAAGGCTTTTTTTTTTATAAAATAAAATCAATGACCCTATAAAGTGAAGAAAAGCATATGACAAATATATGTTGAAATAAATTTATCATCCAGCATGAACCCGTTCTATTTGGTTTTAATTTTGAAAAAGTTGCATATGACAAATATATGTTGAATTTTACGAGGGCAGCTTAATTGGCATCAGCAGTAGTATTTTGCACCAAAAACTGGATGACTGTGCTTCAAGAAAGTTGATGATTGAGACCCTTAAACTGCCTAATGCCACAACAAGGAAAGAGCAGAACAATAATCTCCAAAAGCAGGACAAATAAAAGTTCTGTGACTCAAAAGAAAGGGAAAAAAAAAGGTACAAATCACGAGAAGAAAGAAACCACAAAAACTCTCCAGGAACACTACAGCAGTAGAGGATTCTACTTGACTCCTACAATAGACATGAGAAAGTGAAGTTTATCCTCAGCTTCTCTGAGGTCACAGGGCTTGTCAAAAGATGATGGTGGTTCAACCCCAGTGAAGATGTATAAAGCCTTCAGTTCCTCCATGCAGGATGACTGAGGGGCTGCTTTGTATCCAACTATCATTCGCATTGCATTTATCTGCTCCCACATCTTCCCCTCCCTGGCAGAAATCTACGCAAAAGTAGATTGCATCAAGCACATTAGCAGGAGGAGCAGAAAATGCAGCAATTTCCTAAATTGCAATTTAACCTTGATGACAGTGGAGACAAGATCTCATGTCAAACTACTGACCTCATTCGAAGAAATTGGAGCCTCCTCCTTGGATTTGGGAAACACCTGCAGTTGATTCTCCACAAAATCCAAGTTTTTTTCTTTAGCACCCTTTTCTGGAGAAAAAAAATATAAAGAATCAAACCGCAGAATGGGAAGTAAGACCAGCTAAAGCATGTAGTGACATTCTAAAAGTCACATTACAATCAAAGAACAATCACTTACCAGCAGTTTCTCTCGTTTCTGTATTTGATTCAATTGCATTGACCTCCTTTTCATCAGAAACATTAGAGTCCACTCTGCTTCCTTGAGTGACTGCTCCAGGTTTCAGTTCCACCTCCTCAGTTTTGCAGCTTTCTGCAGCACGGTTGCCATTGGCTAATGTTCCTTGATCGCCAATCAGCCTGTGAGATGCCAAGCCACTGCTTCTATCATCTACATCTACCTTTTCTGTACTTGAACCTTCACCTGTTGCTTCTGCGCACCCCCTATTAGCATCTGCAATTGTCTTCTCTCCTTTCTCACTGAATTGTTTGTTAAATTTCTCATTCATCTCTATTGTAGTTTTCCCGTGATTGTGTTCTTTTTTCCCTCCAACTCCATGCGATTTCTTCCCGTGATGCTTGTTCTTCTTCTTATTTTTCTTGACAGATTCACCAATGTCACCCTTATCGCAGATCTTTTCCAGCAAACCTGTAGTTCCCTGCCTTAATGCCTTGTCTTCATCATTTCTGGTCACCATTTCCACACTTTTAATCTCACTCCTAGTTCCTCTAGCGATTATAACTACTTCATCTGTCTTTGTAACATCGTCAGCATTTTTCTTCTCTGGCACAGTTACAACCACGACTCTCTTTGTCTCAGCTGATGGCTTCTCATCTTTTTGTTCTTCAATCAAAGGTTCTTTGTCCATTTTCTCCACACCTTCAATTTTAACATCTTGCCCTCCAAGCGACCGCTCATCCTCCCCTTCCAAGTATTCACCAACATCTTCTTCATACCCCTTCTCTTTAAAACTTTCATCTTTGTAAAGTTTTTCTTCCCTGAGCTCTTCATGCACCTCTACGTGTTGCTCTTTCTTTCCATCCTCCCCAAATTCAGTTCTCATTTCAACTTCTTTTGGATCAGCTATTTGCTTTTCCAACTCTTCTTCCGGAAGAAATTCTCCACCAAACTCTGACTCTTCTTTTTCTGCTTTATCCAAAAGCCCAGTTTCAATCTCCAACTCCGGAGATGATGCTGGCATTGGCAAGAATCTTATTCATGAGCTTCTCAGTGCAGGCATAACTAGCGACAACAACCCCAGCAGGGACTGAAACGGCGAATCCAACAGCAGACACAACCACAAGGGGAGGAAGAACCACCGGTGCAGACGAGATCACAACACCTGTAATCAGAATCGTTTTCCCTAATTGCAGTCCTTTGCTCAAAATCCAACTGGCCTTACTTTACATTCTTCTTCTCCTGGAGAAGTACAGTATCCTTTACCTCCCCCTCCTCTCCAGAATCATCCATCCTACATATTTACCATACTAACATATATTAAACGTAACTTAAACAAAATTCTTAACTTAAACGTAGGTACCTAAATTTGTAAAAATATTAATTAAGTACTTATTCAGAGAAGATAACTTTAATACAACAAGGGTCTTCCAGAGAAGGGAAAAGATTTACTATTTCAACTCATTCATGCAGAAATCCTAAACAATGAGAAAGCATCAAAGAAACAGAGAGACTGCAGAGAAGAAGAGCTAGCCCTTTTATTGTTCTCAAGAACCACAAACAAATGGATGCAAGGAAGCGTCCAAAGCCATTTGTTACGTTTAAAAAGCAATGCTCTTTTTATCAATTGACAAAAAACCAAGCAAAAGAATTTCTGGAAAATATTAAAATCTAGCTGGATGAACGAAACGAAGAAAAAGAACAAAACCAATGAAAGGGCTCCATTGCAAACGAAAAACTAACCAGAAAAGGCATAAAGAAACAATGAAACAGGGCGCAAAAAAAAAAAAAGAGTGAATATAGCATTACCCGATGATGCCTATTATGCTCCTACCAGTTCAACCTGCGGCTGATGAAGAAAGTAGAGATGGTTTTATGAGGGTTTGGGGGATAAACTTTTATACTCCTCCTAGAAGGGTAAAAGCTGAGAAGGGAGGAATCACCTATCAGCAATGACACGCGGTGGATAGATGGATGGAATGGGCAGTTTGCTGTAGAGATGAGGAGGAGGCATGCGTCAATTTATGAGACGTCAGAAACTGCATGCACAATCACACCTTGCCAGTTGCGCCCAAATGAAACCAATCCTACAATAAAATAACACCCCATAGAATACATAGCAATCTAAACACAACCTTGTGAGAGTGAAATTTCGCTGTGCCGCAGGAGGACCATTTTACGCATCTCAAGGTGGCTGCAGAGAGTCACTGCGCCAAATTATAGAAACCCCATTAATCTGGTAAAAATATATAAAATCTAGAGACACTTTTTGTTATA